CTTTGCAGCCACAGAATAATGAATACAATTCTGTCTTTATAAAATCACCCAGGCTCAAGTATTTCTGTTAGCAACAGCAAAGTGGACTAAGATAATGTGTATTTTCGTATTGCTATTATTAAACATTTCAGCCTGAAAGTGGGTCTGGAAGCCTTGCCATAGTGACAGGGTAGTAGAGAATTACCCAGCGGCACTGCAAATGTAGTGGGCACTAGATCTGATGAATGCAAGAATGAATGAATGAATGAGTGGATGGCATGCTTGGATAGGGAGGAGCAGGGGAAACTGGGACACTGACCCTGGCAAGAGGGTTCAGATAGAATAAAACAAGACACGCACCTGGGTCATTGCATGGTGACTGATATTTTGAAGTTGGGAATCCCCCCAGACACCTGCAAATCCCCCTACTGCCATAGTGACAGGAATGCTCAAATTCAATCTATGACCAAGAGTCTAGATGATTTAGCGATTCGGTGAAGAGAGAGATAAAGAGAGACTGAGACTGACTCTAAGTGGCAGGGAGTGTGGAAAACACAGACACAGGATTGTTGGGACTATTTTCTTCCTACAGCTCCCAGATTTCTTTTCTCAGTCTGGAAACACTGACCCCAGACCCAGAAACTATAGAGACATTAAGAAATCAAAGGGGGAAAAAAAAAAGCCAAAACTGTGTTCAAACCCTGACGCTGTGTGTCTTCAGGAAAAGGTCTCCATCTCTCTGAACACCAAGTCCTTCATCTGTCAAACTGAGTTAACACTTTCTGGGTTGTTGGGAAAGTCATGACACATTTTTGAATAGAAAACGACGTCATGACTTTTCTGACGAGCCAACACGTTGTAGGTTTTCACGCACTGTCTCATTACATGTTCACGATATCCTATGAAGTCGGCATTTCTCCCCTCTCTAGTGTACCAAGCTCAGAGAGGTTCATTACTGGCCTAAGGCTACACAGTTTGAAGAAGGAATGTCAGCTCTGGGGAAAGGCCTGTGTTCTGAGCACCCACAATCCCACCTGTCTAAAAGGTAGCCAAGGGGTTCCATCTCACACTGTTTCCCCAGAGCCACAGTCAGCTGACCTGACCCACTGTCCCCTACCCCCCACTAGGATTATATGCAGATGCAGCTCGTGAATTTAGAAGAAACCAAAATATCAGGGACGTTTGCTTATGATCTCCAAACATCATTTTTCCCCTCAACTACGCTTTATTGTTTTAAAACACTTTATAGAAGTTTAGGATGTTCCTTTTGGTGGTCTTATTTTTTTTTTTAATGAAAATAGAGAAAAGCTAGAAATAACTGAGAGATTGTTAAATAAATTGCTTAAGATGGTTTGTTACACAGCAAAAGCTACCTGATACAATATCCACTATGTCAACAGTAAGAATGCACCGAGCTGTGGTGGTGCTGACTGCTAAAAAGCTGTGCTCTGGGGCTGGAATCACATGGGAGACCAGGGTTCGATTCCTAGTCCAACCTAAAGGGTAGGCGTGGTGGTATGTGCCCATCATCCCAGGGACTTGAAGGGGCTATGGCCAGAGGATTGCAAGCTAGAGGCTGACCTGGACAACATGACAAGACCCTGTCTGAAAAAGGGCCTGGTAGCACACACCTGCAGTCCCAGCTGGGAGACTGAGAGGAGAAGGGCAAACATCAAACATGGTTGGAAGGCTTTGTCTAAAAAAACAAAAGCGAAGCTTGTCAGAGTCCCCACACTAACTTTACTTATTTTAAATTACTGTTGTGTGAAGTTCATGATATTTTTAATCCTTTCAGCCACTATAGGCCTTTATCCAGCTCCACTCTCATCTGCCTGAAATATTTAGCTTCTGAATAAAATATTCAAAGAAAGAGTTTTGCAGTTAATGAAAGGTTTAACTATCCTTGCAGTTGACCTGCTCATTTTCCAGATGCCGGAGACTCACAAGAGGGCTGGGAACTGACGGGACACAGGAGTGGAGAGAGCGTGGCCAGAAACTTAAGGAGCCAGCCTTGTAGACACGCTTCATCAGCTACCCGAGGGCACCTGCCCAGAGCCCTCCCAGCAAAGCCGGCAGCAGCGGGCCCCGACGAAAGGAGTCCTGACGTCAGGGGAAAGCCTCTCCAGATGTTTCTCCCTAAAACACAACGAAGGGCATCCCCCACCTCCTTCCTGCCTCGCACTTTGATCCCTCATTTCATGCACACAATAGTCATATAATAAATACCCACCAGATGTCTCTATTAATGATACCCCTGAAAGGAGTGGGATGATGGAAGTGCTGCCGGGGCACCGAGGCTCTGAAGCGTTCACTGGCAGCCACAGCGGTGTGCAGAAAAGGAATCCTTTCTCTCTCTTCCCTTTCTTCTTCTTCTCCTCCCCCCGCCCCCATGCCAGTGGGGCAGGTGGATCTCTTTCCAGCTCAGTGAATGAGGTTTTAATGAATCCTGAGGGAAGGATGAGAAGGAGGGGCAGGCACACTGCAGAACGTTTTGCACATGCCCAGCTGGTGTGAAGGCCTTTTCCATGAAATTCGCCCTAGCCGGCTGAAAGAGGGCAGGGGCTCCTGTGGTCCACGGGGACCCTGGGCCCTAGCCAGTCTCTTGAGCCAGACTGAACTCCATTCTGTTCTGAAAGTCCACGCTCACCCTCACATCTGGGCTTTGCAGATGCTGTTCCTCCTACCTGGAACTCCTCTCTGGCCCCACTTGGTGCTCCTAAGTCACCTGGTCTTGGTTTACACTTCATTTCTTCCAGAAAGCTCCCTATCATGGCCTCCAGGTCTGGGCTAGGTGACCTAAGTGCTCCCGCCATCAGCTGTGACTCTGTGCTGATAGCTGAAGGCCTCAGACATGGGAGTGCGTTTGTTGGCGGCTGGCTGTTCCCCTGTGTGGACCTCCCTGGGCACAGACTCATACGTTGGCCCGCTCTGTATCCCAGGGTTCGATACACAATAGGGACTTGGTAAGTAGTAGTTAAGAAAGGAAGGAAGAGAGACCAGGCAGTGGCTCAGCCATGATGTAACTGGACTCACATGGGAAAGGCCCTGGGTTCGCATCCAGGGCCCCTCTGAGCATTTCATCCATGCACACGTGTGCCCGTGATCTGGGCTGGCTGGGACCATGAAGACCTGCCAGGGCTGCCTGCCTTTGTCTCTGTACCTCTCTCTCACACACACAGAAGAAATAAATAAATAAACTAAAAAGATTTTTGTTAAATAGAAGGGGAGGACGAAGGGGGGAAAGCAGGGAAGAATGGAAGAACGGACATACATTCTTCCTTTCTTTGGATTAAAATGATTATTTTATTTATTTATTTATTTATTTATTTATTTATTATTTTAATTTGACCAGAGGTGTGTGTGTTGGGGGGGCGGGGAGTGAGAAAGCAAACCACTAGGTCCAGGATTTGAACCTTAACTATCATGCCACCTACTGGCCCTACATTCTCCCTCTCAACCTCAGCATTCAGGAAGCCTCTATGAGCTTTGAGACCCTCTGGAGTCACAAACTTTCTCTTGTGATGTTCTTATTTATAATCTGACAACGCCTTAGCACCCTTCCCTAGTGGGTCTAACCGTCATGATTTCATAAAAGCAACAGTTGGCTGGCCAAGGTCCCCAGTCACCCACAGAGATCAGAGCATTTGCACAGCCTTTACAGTCAGTTGTGGGTTTGTTTTTTTTTTTTTTTGGAGAGGTTTTTGCTATACGGTGCATGTGCTTGCCAGAAAGACAGAGAGAGACAGAGAGACAGAAAGTGAGAAATCACCCCCCGGGGAGGATAGCCACGCCACAATCCCTTCTCCTCCATTCTCCTCTCAGGATCTTGGGCACACACGCACATGTGCCCGGCGTGAGTTTTAAGCCACCGGGTCGGGGACGCAAACCGCGGTCGACTACGTGGGAGTCCAGCGACATAGCCATTACGCTAACTGCTGGTCCCCTACAGTCAGTTTTTTAAAACATCTCATTTGACAGATGGAGAAATGGAGGCACAGAGCAGGAAGAAGGCCCTCCTTGGGTCACCTGTTACGTATTGCCCATGTTACGTAAACCTCTAGGAGCTTCTGGGACTGCAGATGCGGTGGTTTGGGTTCAGAAAGGCTGAGCGAATTGTTAAGCGCTGTCTGTACAGACTCAGTGGGGAGCTGGGTGGAGAGTCACACCATCACCGGACTCTGCTTGGTGCCCTGCCGTTTACAAAGCTGTCTGTGTGTCCCGTGTGCCCACCACCATCCAGTGAGGGCAGGGGTATCACAGCCATCTTATGACTGAGACAGCCTGGGCTCGGGGAGGTGAAGGGTACAGCCAAGGCCACATTGACAGCGAGTGCCAGAGCCCCATCACAGAGGGTGACAAGGAGTCTCCAAGGTGCATGTCTGCGCACATGACAAAGACCGGCATGCTTTACAGTCAGGCTGCTCATCGTCCTCATTGGCCTCAGCGTCCAGTCCATCATGCCTATTAGATCTATTATAGGAAATGGATCCCATTTTAAAAAACAAGCGTGAGCGAAGATAGGGTCTCTGAGTCAAAGGCATCTCGCTGAGAGTTCGGTTGACCTCAGATGAGGTGACAGAGACCGCATGTCCAGTACATAATGTCCCACAGGCTCTGTTCCCTCATCATCTTTTATGAATGACAGCAGTGACTGCAGCTAGCATTTTCCTTATCTAAAGACAGCGTTTGTTCCCTGCTTCAGAAACAAGGGCACAGGGTGGTCAGTACGTTTGACAACTCCCAGACTACCCACGCGAATTAACTGAGGGTCCTGCTCAGGAATACCCTTTATTCTTTTATCAAATTTGTTTTTTTTTCCCCAAAAAATTTCATAAATTTTGTCTTGAGGTGGTACACACTTTTTAGTAATTCTTTTGTTTTCTTTTTTTTTTTTTTGGAAATAAAGCATGCCAATTTCCTTTGTCAGTATCTCTCTTCAGAAACAAGCCATCTTGATCAGGATAAAAGAAATAAAACACGGTGTGTAGAAAAAAAAAACAACAGGATTATAAAATACTCACTGTTCTTTATCACTGCGGGAAGGCAAAGGAAGGAGAGAAAAATAAAGTGAGATAAGAAACGAAGTTAGATAAGAAATCGCGTTAACGACACAGCGCGATCTGGATGCCACAACCACACGTGTGGAATCAGGGTGACCTACTCCCATGTCTTTTCCCAGCCATGATGAACTGATTTTAGCACCTCCAGGGTCGGCTATAAAATCCACACCTTTGATACAATGGGCCAGTTTGACTATTAATTAACCAAGCTGATCATTTATGTGTTTGAATTGGTTTTGTCCATTTGCTCACTTTTTTACATATTGGGGGGGGGCACCAAAGAGAAAGCACTTAAGGAGAATATGAAAACCCTCCTCCTTGGTTTCTGTTATCTCCCACACTGGGGGATTTGGACCCCCCTTAGGAAAAGCGAAGTTCTCTGAACAGTGGAAACTGCAGGCAGCGAGCTGTTCCATTCTGGGAAGAAGACTAGCATCTTCACAAGTAGGTCTACAGCCAGAGGCAATGGACCGCCACGCTTCATGCCTCAGTTTCCACCTCCCATTTCTGGCACTCTCTGGCTTACAGGCTTGAGAGGTAGAGGGGAAAATCAGCTGTCAGAGAGCAGTATTTCTCCCCCTGTATCTCCAGCATGGACACCCCAGACCACAGCACTAGCCCAGCAAGGAGCAGGTGCTTTCATTTTTTCCAAATTCAAACACAATCATTAGATTCAAGGAGGCCGAGAGACAAAGACATTTGAAAAATCACAAAAGCAGTAAGTATATCTGGCTAGCCAGTAGTTAATTAAGACTAGATTTCTTAATTTGTAGAGAGACATTAGACGCGCCTGCACTGCACACCCCACTGCAGCAAGCTACAGAGCATGTGCAATGGCTGTAATTCACCCATTAGCATCTATTGAAGAATAATTGTAATATCCGAAGAAAATGCAGTAGCAATCAGGCCAGCCGGATGCATTTGGAATGCCAAGATGCTTCACGGGGACCCAGGAGCTGTCATAAAACCAGGTCCAGACTGTTTGAATAATTCTAATTTAATTGTAAGGCAAATTGTTTGGCTTCATATTGACTAAAGTAAACGTTGATGGATGGGATTTTAATTAACTGACATTTCTTAAGTAAAGCAAATATTTTATCCCATCTACCCTTCAGGCAACTGTTTATCTTACAGAGACACACTTTTTGGATGATGGAATATTCTTTACAAAATAAGTTTGGCTCTCAGAAGCCTTCATGGGAAGGGCTTTGGAAACTAGGCGTTTTCTTCTCCAAAAGGAAACCAGCGGCATTCCGAACATCTCTGACTCAGTAAAATTGAAAGTGGAGGAGGTTTTAGGTAGAAGTAGTAGACAGGACACTTCCACTTGGTACATGTAGGCGGCTAAGTATTCAGAAAGACCCTCCATCAATTTATGGGAAGTCTTCGAAAGACTTATACCACAGAGATAGGTCAAGTTGTTAGAAAGCCACAGAATAAGTCCAAGAAAAGAGGATGGGATGATCTGATAAAGATAAGAAAAGAAACTCATTAAATAATCAAAGACAGGGCACTGCTAAAAAATGAACAGAAGAAGACACTCCCTTTTAAACTTCCCAACCTTCCATCTCTCTCTCTCATTCATTTATTTATTTATGGTTTTTGCCATAGTGTGTGTGCACTTGCCAGAGATAGACAGAGAAGGAAAGTAAGAAATCACACACACCCCCAGGGGAAATGGCCATGCCACACTTCAATCTGCTCTTGGGATTTGGGGCACATGTGCACACGCACTCTGTATGAGTTTCAAGCTACCAGGTCTGGGACTTGAACTACGGTTGGCCTTGTGGGACCTCCAGCACCACACCATATGCTGGCTCCCCTTATGATTATTTCAACAAGACAGTCTCAGTTTGGTGCTACTCAGAGGTCATTTATTCCAGGGAAGCCAGCAGGGGTAGGCGGGTAACAATGCTAAAGGTAACTAGACACTGGAGACACTACAGGGAATGGTGAGGACTGTGGAAAATTCCCACCGAATTGCTGTCATAGTACATTTTAGTCCAGTATTGCCAGGTCTTTTAATTTTTTGGAGAGATGTCAGTTATCTGGACTTCATTGTGAAATTGTCCCATTTTTACATAGTAAGGTCAAAGTAAACACGCACATATACTTTGCAAGTCAGTGTTGGCCTGTGGTCTTCCTGCTGGAGCAGTTTGTAACCTCTGATCTAGTTCATCTTCCTTGTTTCACTGATGAGAAAACTGAGACCCAGAGAAGGGAAAATGATCACATAGTAAGTTAATTTGAATCCAGAGCTAGGGCCCAAGCCTGGCTCTGACCACTAGAGGCACAGAATTTAATCTTGTTATTTCCAACACTGCAACGTGGTCAAACCAGGGGAGACGTTTTCATGATGAAATTCCCATGAGGTTCTTTCCCCCACTCCAGGGAAGGAAATTCAATGTCTGCTCTCACTAGTCTTGCCTTCAGGTGTAGAACTGGAACCTCATTGACTCAAAACCAGCACCCCCACAGGACCCAGCGCTTACTTTGATTGAAGGGGTCGGTCCCCGGGATACGTCCAGCGGTTAGAGCTGCTGAACACGGTGTCGGTCATGGTGGAGGGCCACTGCTCCTGGAAAAGAGAAGCCCGGAGAAGACATCATCAGTCACATGGCCACCCTTAGTCCAAGCCCCTCCTCTATACCAGGCATTCCAGGCCAGGGGTATGGAGAAGACTAGAAGCTTCATCCAACTTCTGCCTTTTCCAGACAGGGACCCTTGGGCCCTAAGGGAGAAATTGCCCTGCTGGAAGTCACGGCTATACAGAGGCAAGAAATGGACCAGCGTGGCGAGCTCCCTACCTCACGCCCAAGTTCTCCCCACTCACTGTTGACTCAAGACCATGCACCCTGCAAGGCTTTGATCAGAGCACTCAGCTCGAACCCAGGTCTTCCTGTTGGAGCACACTGTCTGACTCCCTCACCCTGGAGTCATTTCTGGCCCTTATTTCTTTTTAAATACTACACACCCAGGCCATTGGAAAATCCTACTGGTGTGAACTTCAACATGGATTTAGAATCTGCCCACTGCTTCTAGCCTGCACTGCTGTGTCAATCCAAACGACCATGATCCCTGCCCGGCTCACCACGAGAGGTTCTTCCTGGGCACCCCTGCACCTATTCTTGCCTCCTCTCAGTCTCTGCTCCTCACAGCAGTCAGGGAGATCTTGAAAAACATACTTTACAGCTTGAAAAAAATAGTACCATTATGCTAAAACAGTGATCATGTGACCCAGCGGTTCCTCTCCTAGGTCTCTTCCCAAGAGAAAGGGAACCCACATCCACATAAAAACTCTCATATGTCGGGACCAGCAGTTAGCGTAATGGCTATGTCGCTGGACTCCCATGTAGTCGATCACGGTTCGATTCCCGGACCCCGTGGCTTAAACTCACGCCGGGCGTGCGTGCATGGGTGCCCAAGATCCCAAGAGGAGAATGGAGGAGAAGGGATTGCAGCGTGGCCATCCCCCCTGGGGAGTGATTTCTCGCTTTCTGTCTCTCTGTCTCTGTCTGTCTGGCGAGCGCACATGCCCTATAGCAAAAACCTTTCAAAAAAAAAAAAACCACTCTCATACGTGAGTGTTAATGGAAGCATGATTTAGAACAGTTGTACGTGCAAACCACCCACTATTGACCAACTGACGAATAAACAACAAAATGTGCTCTCTCCATGCACATCTTGTTAGTCAGGAAAAGGGGTGAGCCACTGATCCGTGCAGCACAGATGAACCCTGAGAACGATGTGCTAAGGGAACGAAGCCAGACACAAGAGCCAGAGTGTAGAATTCCTTTTTTTTAAGTTTTTTTTTTCTTTTTTTGCCATAGGGCACATGTGCTTGCTGGAGAGAGACAGAGAGAGAAGGAGAGGAAGAAATCACCCCCCAGGGAGATGGCCATGCTGCAGTCCCTCCTTCTTCATTCTCTCGGGATTCTGTCCATGCGCACACGCCCCGTGTGATTGTCAAGCTACCTGGTGCAGAACTCGAACCATGGTCGGCCATGTGGGGGTCCAGCGCCTTAACCACCACACCACTTGCTGTCTCCCCCCTCCCTTCTTTTAATATCTAGTGTTGAAAAGAATCTGGAACAGACAGGAACTTCTACATCCTGCAGACAAGAGTCAGAACAACCGTCTTGGAAGACTTTGGCGTTATCTACTGCACATGGATACATGCAAACCTTGTGACCCAGGATGTCCACCCTGAGTAAGCATGTGACAGAAGTGTCCACACACACCCAAAAAAAGCAAAGCACTTAGGGAAATGGCAGTATCCACTAAAGCTACACAGTGACCTAGCACCCGGCCCTGGGATTGGCCTCGGATATATACCCAAGAATAAATGCTTGTGTTCCAAGACGCACACAAGAATGTTCCTAGAAGCTGGGCTCATAAGAGCTCGAAACTGGAAGCCATCCAAACGCCCATCAACAGAAGAGTGGATAAATCGATTGTGGCATATTCGTACAGGGGACACTGGTCAGCAATAAAAAACAGCTCCTGATACGCTTGACAACGTGGGCGACTCTCACAGACATTATGTTTAGTGACAGAAGACAGGAACAAAACATCGTTAGACAGTGTTTACATAAAGGTTAAGAACAGGCAAAGCTGGGGCTGGCACAGGTGCGTGGTGGTTAAGGTGCTGGACTCCCACATGGCTAGGTGTGGTTTCAGTCCCGGATCTGGCAGGCAGCTTTCTCTCTCTCTCCAGTGAGAGAGAGAAATTTGCTCTATAGCAAATTTTAAAATAATAATAATAATAATAAATAAATAAAATGAAATTGTTCTTTTTTTAAAAAAAGAACAAAGCTATTTGATGGTGATAGAACTCAGAGGAAAGCAAGTGGAGCTTTGGGGAGGGTGTTGATAGGGAAGGGGCCTCCGTGGGGTGAATACGTCCCAGCTCTCATGTGGGTGGTCACTAACTAGGTAGACACAGCTGAAAAAAACACCCAGTGGAGCGTTTCCGATGTGTTCTTTACATCCTTCCCTTCGCCCCAAAACCGTACATGGCCTTGGGCTCCTCTCTTGCTCAAAAGTCTTCAGTGGCTCCCCACTGCTCCTAGAACAAAATCTAATGGCATTAGCCCAGCCTGGGTCCCTCTGGCTCCTTCTCATGTCTTCCCACTTGTCCTCTGCCCTCTCCCCCAGCTCCACAGGCCTCCCTGCAATTTCTCCAATACCTGAGCCCGTTCCTGCGTGCTCGTCCTGCCTGGAGCCCTCTCCACAGACGCTTGCTTCCTGCCTCACTCTCTTCCTGTTTAGGTCTGTTCTCAAACGTCACTCCTCAGAGGCCGGATGGGAGCGTAGTGGTCAATTGACACTCTGCAAGATAGCCCACTGGGGAGAGTTGTGGAGCAAGTGCAGAGCCCTCTTCCGGGCTGACTGGCGCTGAGAGTGGATCTGAGCACCAAGACCCCCACTAGGGGTGCTGTGTCTCTCTCTCTTTCTCTTTCATGGGATAAATAAATAAGTAAACTTAAAAAACCCAAAATGCTATTTCCTCAAAGAGCCTTCCCTGACCCCTCCATCCGAAACAGTTTCTTCTCCACCTTGTCTTTGTTTTCTGACCTCTGCTCTGCTTTGTCTTCATTGCTCTCTTTAGGACCCACATGTATCATATGCTGATTTTCAAACTGGGTTATTTCCTTCAAGATAGAATTCTTCCACCAAAACGTGAGCTCCTTGCAGAGCGTTTTCTGCGCTGCTCTGGCCTCACTCCCCACACCGAGCAGCATTCGGTGCAGGGCAGGCACTGACAGACTCTCCGGAAGGTGCGAAATCCATCTCCGTCAGCTGAATTCAGGCCGATGCCTCTCTAACCATCCGCCCCCTCCCTGCTAAAGGTCTTGCCAACACTAGTGGAAGAGAGATCGTGGAGATTATATTACTTTAAAAACAAGCAGAAAGTGTCTCTCCAGGCCCGGTGGGTCCTGATTTCCCTGTGGCTCTCCTGACGGCATCTCATGCTCTGCAAAGTTGAACAGGCGAGGTGCAGGGAGGAGGCTGCAGGGCAGACTCTCTCTCCTTTTTCACAGCCTCTGGAATGATTAAATCTGTGTGTGTGTTGGGGGGCAGTCAGGGGGGCTGCTGACCAGACCATGGGAGGGAAGTCTTCTTATAGAAAAGCCATTTCACCTGCTCTCATGCAGTTAACATAAGCTCCCCAGATTAACAGGATTATTTCATTGTTTCAACTTCAAAAACCAAAAAGAAAGGATGCAGCTCCTGTTGTGAAAGAAATTTGCTGAAAAGACCTTGATGCGTTCTTACTGCCTGTGCAAAAATTGAGCAGGCTCCCCGAAGTACCCCTGGCCCTACTAGGAACACAGGGAGAAAATGCTACCCTTGAAGAGCCCGGGAGGCGGGGAGTCGGCAAGGAAGAACATTGACTCTTTCAGCGTCGCCACGCGGGGCTCCCAATGTTCTCAGTATCCCAGGATCAGGCTCCTGGTCCAGTGCTCATGCCAGTCTACCAGGCCTGGACCAGGAGAAACAGGCCCAGGGGACAGAGGTCATGCGATAACAGGCATTTCTAGGATGGGAATGGAGATGCAGGTGGGGCAGGCTCATAGATATGGCTGATGCCCCGTCCAGACCCCCCTTTAGCTGGTGCACCCTCTGTCCCAGCCTCTAGGAGGGTCAGAACTGAAAGCTCAGAGCAGCATCCTTTTCCAGAGAATTGTCCTCAGCCACAGAGTTGCCTGGCCCGGAGACCAGGGAGCTGCCCAAGGCCAGTGACAAGCGGACAAGGGGAGAGGACAAAGCACAGCCCCTGTCCTGTCTCAGGCAGGACAGCTCTGCCCTGATGTCACACTCCAGAGCCCCCCATGGATCAGGCTGAAGCTGGACTTCGGCCCAAGAAAGCCACATTCTTGGTGAGCATTCCCGCTGCCTGTCCCGCTCCCTGACCCCAGCAGCTTCCTCCTCCCTGCACCTCCTGCAGCCATTACCAGCACGAGCAGGTTCTAGGGGACTTGTCTGCACACAGGAGCGGATGGAAGAAGCTAGGAAAACGAGACTCTGACTGAGGAGTTCATCCTATTGCCCAGGCAGGCTCTCTAGCTCTTTCATACATTCACCAAAGACAGAGAGATGGAGAGGGAGAAGGAGAAAGCACTCTCAGTGGGGCGTGTTTACACTGCAACCCCTTCTCCAGTTCTCCACCCTGTTGGGATTTGGTCTACTGTGATTGGTTCAGGAATAGTCACATGACCCCAATCTGGGCCAATAAAGGCCTGCCCTAAGACTTTCACTGGAACTATTCAGAAAGAGGCATTCCCTTTCCACTGGGGTTGCAAAACTGGTAGAACAGGAGCCATAGCTCTGAAACTGCTATGGATCACTTCTTCTGCCATCATGTGGGAAACCCTGCCACAGGATGAAACCAGACCTGAGAGATAGAAACCATTCCTGATGATGATGTTGGAGTGCTGGATCCAGCCATGCCTGAATCTATCACTGCCTTTTCATTTACCTTGAGTCAGTATGCTATTTTTTCCTCTTCCTTCCTTCCTTTCTTTCTTCTTTCTTTCTTTCTCCTTCCTTCCTTCCTTCCTTCCTTCCTTCCTT